AATCATACATGTCGAAACTAGAATATTTATAAGAGATAAATCTCTCATAACCTGGTTTAAAAAAGTTGTCAAAATTCGAATTCAAAATATTTAAATTTATAACTTGTCTTTGCTATCATTTGAACTAACTTGGATTAAAATTTATCAAATTCAGTTAGCTGCATAAGCTTTATCAAGGTGTATCCGTACAAACATATGCAAATGCTGAACAATGGTTCAATTGGATTGGACGGATAAAATCCTAAGTTCAATACTCAAAGGTGTCCTTTTCACTCCAAGTGCCAAGTAGAAACCAGGAATGGGAGGTTAAGCTTCCTTTCTTTTTCACCTGAAGTGTTAAAGTAATTGTAACATCATTTTTAAATTGTGCAACTTCACCTCAAAAAATAATAATTTTTAATAAAGTATCAAAATAAAATTTGGTACTGTAGAATTGTCCTACTAAAACTCCCCCCACTTCAATTATTCGAAATTTTTTTACTGCAATATTCCACTGTTTTCTGTGTTTCTTCAAATAATTGAAGAATTGTTGTTATATGTTATTGTTAGCGACAAGACAATTAAGGGTGAGAGCAATTTCATAACCTCCATATTTTTTTTTTGCTTGTAGAAAAAAAAGGTGTGGTACCGGATAGCACTCAGAGTCCATCTTAATAAGCCCTCATTAGTGGGATTATGAGGCATTTGATCGCGTCTGTTACTCCTTTCAAGAACGAACATATTTAGATTAATATAACAATCAACTATCGAACCTTAATGTGAATTTCAAAATTCAAACTTTTAAACTTAGAGCGAGAAGTTCAGGCGATACTCAACTCCATATTTATGTCTTCCTAACGAAGAAAGTTTATATATGTGGGCGTGGATGATGGACCACTAGATTGGTGGGAGTGCTCATAGCAAGGGGGACATCTGGTTGAAATGACATCAAAAATCTTAAACTGGTTCTCTGCATGTGAAATATTGATACCATAATAAAAAATCTTAATTCTTTACATTTTGTATTGAAATGGAGAAGATGTATTTCAATTCAAAAATCATTTAGATTATTCAACCATCATAATTTTACTAGCTTTTTGTGTTATTAGTACAAAAATTACAATTTCTATGTCGAAAAAAAAACAAAAAAGAAGTGAAAAAGTTTTCAAAGTACACAAGATAAAAAAAATCGGTTNAACCATCATAATTTTACTAGCTTTTTGTGTTATTAGTACAAAAATTACAATTTCTACGTCGGAAAAAAAACAAAAAAGAAGTGAAAAAGTTTTCAAAGTACACAAGATAAAAAAAATCGGCTTGTTACTCTTGGATTCTATTAGTTTGATTGTCTTGAACCAAAATTTATTACTCTTTTTTGTTAATCACTATTACAAGAGAGAAACAATGAAAATTAACAACTTTAAAGTCTAACAATGAGATAATTGTCATTAGACCAACCATTAAGTTGAAATTTCTTACCTAAATGGGGCAATTCAGCAACAATAGCTTTGGGGCTAAGAAAAGCCACTGGGGAGTGTGAAAGACGAAGTTGCTGCGTAGATTTGTTAGTAAGATATTAATAATAGCACAAATGCTGAACTATTTTGGCGTGCGACGACTTGCTATGTTTCCACCCTTGACGTGTATTGGCCTATCACATTGTTCTCTCACATAGCCTAACTAGATGACGTAGTCAATATGAGAGAAAAAAATATGTAGGAATGAAATTCAAATGTCTAACTATCTTATTAGGTAGATAAATTTACTTGCTTTCGTAATTCAACAATCCTAAGTATTTGCCCACGTGCACTAGAGCGCGTAACTCTGCAAGTGTGTACCGTAAGCAAAGTTTCTATTGGGCGGAATGCGAAAAAAGGTGGATTATTTTCAATTAATANAATTCAAATGTCTAACTATCTTATTAGGTAGATAAATTTACTTGCTTTCGTAATTCAACAATCCTAAGTATTTGCCCACGTGCACTAGAGCGCGTAACTCTGCAAGTGTGTACCGTAAGCAAAGTTCCTATTGGGCGGAATGCGAAAAAAGGTGGATTATTTTCAATTAACAAAATTGGTTAATTATATATGTGAAAGGAGATAACAGAAAGTGAATATTAATTGTATATTATTTTATTTTAATTTATAATATAGATAAAAAGTTGTATTTATAGTAAAAGAGAGTAGTGATATTTTTTAGTCTAATCGATGTGGGATAAACATATTATCATTATTAACATTCCCTCAAACTCAAAGAGATAAGTAGTAGAAATCAAATTGAGTTTTGAAAACCAAATCATGAAATCAGCTTGGCGGATGTGCCTTGGTGAAAATGTCAGCAATCTAGTCAGATGAAGAAGCAAAGAGAAGATGAATTGTACCTCGAACCACATGTTGTCGCATAAAATGACAGTCAATCCCAATATGCTTGATGCGATTAAGAAAAACATTATTGTGAGCAATCTGCATCACACTCCGGTTATTACAATAAAAAATAGTAGCACCAGAATGAGAGACATCTAAGAGTTAATGAAGCTAAAGAAGCTGTTGGATAGTGTTAGTAACAACATGATACTTTGCCTCTGTATTGGATCAAGAGATAATAAATTGTTTCTTGTTGCACCAACAGATGAGAAAGTCGTCTAGAAAAAAATAGTAACAAGTTATAGAACGACAATTAGTAAGATCTACAGCCCAGACAACATCAAAATAAGTGCATAATATATGTTGCCATAATAAAAAGTCTTGATTGTCTAAATTTTGTATTGACATTGGTAAGATAGATTTTAATTCAAAAATCACCAATATTATTCAACAACCATAATTTTACTTGTATTTTATGTGTTTTTAACCCAAAAAAAAATATTGATTTCTACATCGGGAAAAAAAGGTTATCAAATTTTCAAAATTTATAAAATAAAATAATCAATTTTTTTATTATTGAATTCTAATACTTCGATTGTCTTGAACCTAAATTTATTGTCTAAATTGCAACAATCCAGCAACAAACATTTTAGATATATTGTACCAAACATCATACTGCAGCACAATAATGATTCAAAATGAGGTCGTTTGGTTATTGTATTATAGGGTATATTAAAAAGTCATATTGAATTAAAACGCTTTAATACAAGTTTATAACACATTTGGATGCAAAAAATTACTTCATATTATATATGGAATTAACTAAATAAGTATCACATACGAATAATTCTAATACAATTTATCCTTACTATTGAGCTATTTTAATACCACCATGAGAGGTGGTATTATAATACGACCTAAATGTATTATATTGCTAGTTTATAATTTTACCCTCAATCTAAGTCAAATTCATATGATCATTTCCTCATATTTATTTTAATAAAAATTATATAAACATCATGACTTTATAAAAAATCGGGCCTTAACTTTTTTACAATGACCTGACATCCTCCATTTATGGACAACCTGTAAAAGATGCACCTCATTTGTCGTTCATATCAATAATGATTGATGATACCTCAAATATGCTTAAGGTTGAGCTCGGTAATACAGGTCATGCTCTCGTAGGTAGGGAGCTCACTTCATTTAAGTTACCTAGAGACTTCCGCTTCAGATCTCAAACTCCCTGTATTTGCATCTCAAGGAATGTGGTGCAGAGGACAATTGACTTTCACCAAGTACCCCCTCAATAACAACAGTCACTTATCTAGGCACAAGACTCGTAATCACCCCAGCACCCACTGCAGCCGTTGCACAATAAAGACGACCGTTACAAGAAATAGCTAGACAAGAATCTCGCCTTATATCAAGGTAGGCTCAGCAACTATAAACAGGAGGCAAAACCCTCACAAGTAATAACAAGAAATTGTAACCTCACTTATATGCTCTCTGTAAAACTTTCATTATCAATATACTCTCTCGGAGCAAGAGAGTCCCTTGATCCTATTCTCAAGAGCCTTGGATGTAATACTGAACTAAATTGAACTGCTGTATGCACCTTGTATTTGTCCTTCTGCTCAGTTGTGTTAATAACATTATCAATGATAAACAACGACATTGATAATAAACAAATGCATATATCTAAAATACATTTTTACATAATTAAAACATGTTTGTTTAATTCTAATATTATTTAAAAATATTCAAAATAAGTAATATCTATATAACTTTTGGTTCTATTGATATAACCCTATAAAATATTGGGTCACTATAAAAGATCAAATTAAAGATGATTGAGGGCATTTTAAACTAATCATTTAATGTTATTGAATAAATTACATAACTAAACATTATATTGGACTTGACAAACACTTACCTTTATTTCTTGTTTAATTTTAAATTTTATCCATCTAAGAAAAGCCACCGACTTGTCGAAAAAAAAAGAAGAAGAAAAGTCTCTGAGGGGGTGTGAAAGACGAAGTTGCTACGTAAATTTGCTGGTAAGATGGTGATAATAGCACAAATGCATAACTATCTTGTCGTGCGACGACTTGTTAGCTACATTTTCTACCATGACTTGTCTTGACCTATCACACTCTCTGTCATCTGACCCTAATTTTCTTGCNTTTAATTAAATAAATAAACTGAATTAAAATTAATTAATATTCAGTGCGAGTGATAAAAAATTCGAGTAGATTGACAGTCATACTCCCGGCAAACTAGGAAAGAAATTCAATGACAAAATGAAATTACACACGCGCTCTGGTTGCACGTGGACTTAGTGTGGTTTAAAAGGGTTCGAAAAAAGGATCCAGAAGTGTCAATGAATCAGAGTAGACTCGCCTTTTAGCTCACCCCAAGCGACACGTCCGCTTTGACGCGGACACGCCTTCGCAAGCCATGGCGGCTACACATTGCACTAACCCCTTAAAAAATTCTCCATACCAAAACAGCCACTATCCATGACTATCCTACTCCCCAAGAAATCAAGGGCAAATCAGTCATTATACAAGACGGTGAAGAGAAGTAGTCCCCACTCCTCCAGCCTATAAATACCAAAAACACAAACTCGATATGTACTCACTCACTCCTACAAGGTTACAAATCTTTGACATACAAACATATTCTCAGATAGACTTCTATATTCTCACTTTCTCATAGAAACATATTCTGTTTTTGAATAATATTTTACTGACCATGACGGTGAAGAGAAGCAGAGAAGATGGAGAAGTTGAATCGTTTGCCATGGCCAACTGTTTGATGCTCCTCTCTCGTATCGGCAAGACTATGTCATCATCGTCGCCGGATCGTGTCTTCGAGTGCAAGACTTGCAGCAGAAAGTTTCCATCTTTTCAAGCGCTCGGTGGCCACCGAGCGAGTCACAAGAAGCCAAAATTAATGATGTTGGACCTTCTTCATCCAACTGATCAATCAAAACCTAAGACACATGAGTGTTCCGTTTGTGGTTTGGAGTTTGCAATAGGTCAAGCACTTGGTGGGCATATGAGACGCCACCGTGCATCTGGTAGTGAAGGGTTGAAAACGGAGAATAAACAATCGGCGGTACCGATTTTGAAGAGGTCGAATAGCAAGAGAGTTATGTGCTTGGATCTGAACTTGACGCCATATGAGAATTTTCTGGAGTTGGGGATGGGGAAGATGGCTTCGAATTGATACTAGACCGTTTTACTTGAACTTTTTTCATACTCCGGATTTTTTTATTCTATTTACAATCATAGTGTTGTTGGTTTTTATTTTTTGGGATTTAGATCATGTATATTTGATAGATTGAATTGCATCTTTTCTGAGATCCAGATGATGAGACGAACGCTTTTTTACAAGTTGTGCTTTATGTTCTTGAACGATCCACGCGCCTTTACCTAATAGGGACCGAAAGATCAGATTAATCGACACCAAAAGTCTCATTGAAAAGGTAATCGGATTACTTGTTCAACTCCGTCAATCTGAATGGNTGAATTGAACGATCCACGCGCCTTTACCTAATAGGGACCGAAAGATCAGATTAATCGACACCAAAAGTCTCATTGAAAAGGTAATCGGATTACTTGTTCAACTCCGTCAATCTGAATGGAAATTGAAGCCCGGATCCAATTGGAGTAATAAATATTTTTTTGTGAAAGCAGAATCCAAGTNACCAAAAGTCTCATTGAAAAGGTAATCGGATTACTTGTTCAACTCCGTCAATCTGAATGGAAATTGAAGCCCGGATCCAATTGGAGTAATAAATATTTTTTTGTGAAAGCAGAATCCAAGTAAATATGAAGTGGACGCAAGGGTCCGACTCTTGTGTTATACAGAAAGGGATATTGTTTTTAAAATAAAGCTGTTTTACACGTTATTAAAAAGGGCATAATTTTAAAGAATCTAATTTGTGTTGTACAGTAGATGAGTTGTTTCCGTGCATACAAGTTAAGGTTTATAATAAAAGATAATTTTAAAACCATGTTGTATATGAATAAATTATAAAAATTTTGCAATTTTGAATTTTACAGAACATTTAATATTGGGTCACAATAAATGTTAGTGTCATGTTTTAACTCATGTAAGTCGGATTAGATTCAGTATTGGAATCAGTTGCAAGAAATTTGGGTTTAGTTCAATTTTAATTCTTGGAATTTTATGTTTAATTAGAGTTTATATATTTTTGGCTATCCATTAACTAAGATACAGTGAGAAAATCATAAAATTAAGTAAAAATACTACTAATTAAGGAAAATTGCTACTAATTAGCCAATTCTATCCTCTAAAGTGGTTGTAGATATGAAGTAATGACATCTTTTGTGGCACATTTTTTCACCATTTGTGGCAGATTATCAATTGGAATTGATCCAATAAGTTTCATTCTCTTTCTTCATTGGCCTAATTCATGAGCAACTAAATTTGCTTGTCTATAAAAATGGACCAGGCTCCAGTCTATGTGTTCTCCCAGCAATTGTGTTTATGTCTTTGATGATCATGGCTATGGACCAGTGCGGCTTTTATGTGTTCCAACATTGCAGCATATATAATAGCTTGTTGAACATAGCTCCATGACTTGCTATGACCCCAAAGTGCTGTTTTTTTTTTTATTACTGAGGCACCAGGGCTTCCAGTACTGTTCCATCAGTTCTTCTTGCCACTGCTGCTATGCAGTAGTGCGTTTTATCAACTGTTGCATCAAGGTTTTATCTTTATTCCCCATCGCATGTGATGTATACCGGTAAAGAGAAGATGTTGTGGATATTTGGGACTGGGTGATGGCAATTGGTTCTTGATGTTTGTGGGGTATAAACTCATCAAATTTCAGTTGTATTTCATTGTGAATGGACTAAGCCTCCAATGTTGCCTTTTGGAAGGTGATCTTGTTCCTCTATTTCAAGATTGTTTCTGCTATAATCGCTAAGAAAAGAGTCAATTTGAAGAGATAGGGGTTGCATGATCCAAAGAGGATTGTGGGGTTGAGTACATGATATATCCATTCTTGAATATTTAGATGTGGGAATGACTCAGTTCCGAAGCCACATTTAGCATACCGAATCATCTTTGCAATTGGACAGAGGAAGAAAAGGTGTGTATTTGAGAGATTTGTTCTTTCTCTCTCTTTTTTCGCATTCTTTAAAGGTATGATGAGATTTAGTTATGCTCGAGGGATTATGCGATGAAATTAACTTGATATTATTGATTAATCGATTTTATTTTTACATCTAATTAATTCAACAAGATTCAATTACTTTTATTTTATTGAAAATAATAATATATGGTGTGAAGTTGATTTTATTATGTTTCATGCATCTAAAAATTTGACAATCTTATTGAAAGATCCAAATTAAATAAAAATATCTCAGTACGCTTCCAATTGGCCCCCCTCAAGAGGAAAAACTAGCTCCGCTCCTTCAACTGTCTTTGTCTGCAAATGAATTCCCATAGGGTTGCAATTTTGATGCTTTTGAACTTTCCTTGATCTGCATCTTTCTAAAAATGTCTTGGAGAGAACTTCAGTACATAAGATAAGGGGGAAGGGGAACATCTTATCTTAAGGCGTCGTTGTCCTAAGAATCTCCCGAAAAACCCCTCATGTTGCTTATACAATACCTTCACTATAAGGGAGAGAGTAGGATGGTTGACTTTCGTATCGTATTCAAAATTATAATTTTTTGATGTGTAAATTATAATTTATTAGGGGCATAATCAATGATAAAAATTATAATTTTAAAATGTTAAATTGTAACTCACAAAAGAGAAATTACAACTGCATAAACAACTCATGGTCGATGGTGAATTTTTTCAAATAATTGTAATTTTACTTGTAGAAAGTTAAACTTAACTATTAAAAATAATAATTTTTGGTACAACATTAATAAATAAATAAAATTAAATACAGTAGAATTACCCTGACTATAATGATAAGATAATGGTCAATGAAAGATGAGTTGGAGTTGGGGCCCCATTGCTGGACCTTAAACAGGACTATCTTCAGGGAAAGTGTGGAATATTGTGAACATGTGCGATACTTTTCCAGCAGCAAGAACATGGTTCCAACTTTGTACGGGTGTCTGATGTTGACCTCTGAACTTAGGAATTCCACTGCACGGTTAGCCCAAAATCTTTGAAAATAGAACTATGATATAGAAAATTGTGCTATATATATAAATATATGACTTATTCATAATGAGAGCATTTTGGAGTTAGCTATTCATTCAAAACTCAAAATATTTAATGAGCCCAACAGTTGTATGATTGTCCAAGAGGCCTCCACGATCTATCTGCTTCTCCACAATAAAGAATGAGTCATAATTCAAAGTAGGGAGCCCGACAAAGAGTTAAGATCGTCACAATCCTGCTCGGTTATAGCAACTTCAATGGTACGCAGTCCAAGAACGAGGAGCTCAGTATTTACTAGGCCCTGAATACACCACATCACACTACGTATCCAGGGGATGGGGGATAGCTTCTGAAACCTTTCAGGAACGTGTATGCACTGGTAAAAAGAATATTTGTGCACATTTCATTGAAATACCGTGAATATGACTTTGTGTCAAGATAACGGTCACCACTACAAGATAAAAAGGAGGGGACTATAGAATCAGTCAAAGGAAAAAGATGATCCCAGAAAATCCTAGATAACCATTTGTATAAATAGAACACCATCACGCTATGTAAAAGAGATAAAAAAAAAAAAAAAAACCCTGTATTAACAAGGCATTGTTGACTCAAAGCTCTAAAGCTAAGAAACCAACTGTAATATTTTTCTTCTTCAAGTAATACAAACTTTATAGAGTAAGAACCTCAATTATAATGGACGTAACCCTAATCTTTCGACTAGGGTGAATCACTTATACGTTGTCTTTGATCCCATTTCTTTATACTTTTCTTTTGTTAGCTTAGAATATTCACACTATCCCTTCCTTAGCATATAAATGGGTGACTTGGACTTGAGCTAAGTATTTTCGAGTACTATTAATTATCAATATTTGTTTCAATTGGCACCATTAGAATCTTTTTCTCTCATACATACTCAATTTTATTAATGGTGNAAAAAAAAAAAAAAAACCCTGTATTAACAAGGCATTGTTGACTCAAAGCTCTAAAGCTAAGAAACCAACTGTAATATTTTTCTTCTTCAAGTAATACAAACTTTATAGAGTAAGAACCTCAATTATAATGGACGTAACCCTAATCTTTCGACTAGGGTGAATCACTTATACGTTGTCTTTGATCCCATTTCTTTATACTTTTCTTTTGTTAGCTTAGAATATTCACACTATCCCTTCCTTAGCATATAAATGGGTGACTTGGACTTGAGCTAAGTATTTTCGAGTACTATTAATTATCAATATTTGTTTCAATTGGTACCATTAGAATCTTTTTCTCTCATACATACTCGATTTTATTAATGGTGTGTTTAATTAAGTTGATAGAAAAATAGAAAGATAAAAAATAAAAGTGATATATTTTCTATCCTTAAAGGAAAAAATCTTTTCTTCACTTCTTTGTATTTGGTAAGAATAATGGAAAGTAGAAATGATTAATTTTTTATTTTATTTTTGGTAGGATGAAAAAATTGAAGAATAAAAAAAATATAGATG